TACAGAACAGGTATGATGGCCTGGGTACGATAGATGAAGCGCATAACGAGATAGAGGAGGAACCTGCACAGGCAGTCTTGCCAAGGTCAGAGAGACCAACTTCTCACAACAAAACCTGCACCGTGAAGAATCAGCTGCGAGTTATGGTCATTGCTGATTCCCTGCTGTGTGGAACGGAAGCACTTGTCTGCAGACCGAACCCTCTTTTTAGGGAAGTTTGCTGCTTCCCTGGGGCCCAAATTAGAGATGTCACCACAAGACTGAAGAGCGTAGTACAACCTTCAGTCTACTACCCATTCTTGCTCTTTCACACGAGTACAAATGACATTGCAACAGGAAGTCTGAGGTCAATCAAAAGAGATTTCGGAGCCCTGGGAAGAATGCTAAAAATTTCGGGAGCACAGGTAGTGTTTTCCTCAGTCCTCCCAGTAATGGGGGGACACTTAGGAAGAAACACGTGAGCCCAGGATATCAACACCTGACTCCAGGACTGGTGCCTCCAACAAAACTTTGGGTTTTAAAACCATGGAAGAATCTTCAAGAGGCAAGGTATGCTGGGGCCTGACGGGATCCACCTGTTCCAATGGGGAAATGGGTCTTCGGGCATAAGCTGGCAGGACTGATCAAGAGAGCTTTAGACTAGAATCGATGGGAGGAAAGGGATACCAACAGGATTGCGGCAGGTAAGCCAAGGGTTGGCATGGCATTGCCTGAGGGTGGCAATGCTAGTGGGAATGTTTACACAGCTCCTGGGAGCATGGAGGGCTCAGGACCGTATCTGAAATGCTTGTACACCAGTGAATGCAGTATGAGAAACAAACAGGATGAACTGGAAGCATTCGCCAGTCCCCAGCGCTATGGTATCATTGGTATTAGTGAGACTTAGTGGAATGAGTCCTATGATTGGAGTGCTGGGATGGAGGGCTGCAGGCTGTTCAGGTGGGATAGGCAGGGCAGGTGAGGTGGAGGTATCGCACTATACATAAGGGAGCGGTTTTGATTGTACAGCCCTTACAGTTAGTGATGATGTGGTTGAGAGCCTCTGGGTGAGGATGAGGGGGGTGGAAAACAAAGGAGATGTTGTAGTGAGTGCCTACAATTGATCGCCCAGCCAGGATATAAGCACTGATGAGTTCTTCCCTAGAAAATTAGGAGAACTTTCAGGATGGGTAGCCCTTGTCCTTATGGGAGATTTCAACTTCCCAGACGTCAGCTGGGAATATCATACTGCTGTGATGAGCAGGTCTTGGAAATTCTTGAAGTTTGTAGGAGAGAACTTCTTGTCACGGGTACTCAGTGAGGCATCTAGGAAGGATGCCTCCTAGGCTTGCTATCTGCGAATAGAGAAGGACTCGTGGGGGATGTGATGGTAGGTGGCTGTCTTGGCCACAGTGATCATGAAATGGTTGAGCTTAAAATTTTCAGTGTAATGAGAAAAAAGGACAGCAGAGTTGCTACCCTCGACTTCAGGAGAGCAAACTTGAAGCTGTCCAGGGAACTATTTAGCAGAGTAGGAATAAATAAAGCATATCAGGTGCTTTAATATAAATTGTACCTTATAATCAAATACCTCTGATAGCAGATACATGATGTGGAGAAACAGCATTGGTCATAACAGTACAGGTCAGGACTAGCCAATATAAGCTGCTTTAAATTGTACACCTTCCAAACACAGGTGTGCCTCATCTTACTTCATAATAATTACAACATAAGAGTACTGTGAAAGAAGCCTTAGCAACAGTTTCCACTTTTGCCACCATTTGGAAGTGGCAGCCGAAGAGCCCGGGACCAGCCCCCACTGCGGATCCCACGCCTCCCCACAGAAACAGCTGCAGTCAGAAGGGTTGATTTAGGGTTCCCCAGGAAAGCAGAAATCAGAAGCAAGTAGAAGACTGCAGACCTCGTTTGGGAAAGGAGCAGTGCTTACTGACTGGCTAGGTCAACAGGCAGGCTTTTCTCTTTAACACCACAGATTTTTCAGTTTCCTAGAAATTATGAAGAGAAGTGTAGAAGAAAGAAGAGTAATGTGAAAAAACAGCTTATGTGTCTCAAGTATCAGAACCCATTTTGGCACTTAGGTTCCATAATTTGGTCACTGCTTTTGAATATGTTTGCTTTATTATTATCATTACTTATCTTTTTGGTAGAGTAACACTGGGGAAAAAAAAGCCAATAAAAAAAAAAGAAAAGCCAACAAATGCAGTTACACAACATACTGGTGTTTTTAGGTTGCTAATAGCATCTGGTCCCTGCGAGCACAGCACAGGATATAGTATAAAATCATTGTATGTAACCACAGTGTGTTGTTCATGCACTGGTAGGTCTTCTAGCTTGTAGAAATTATAACTGGCCTGCTAACCAAATGCAGTGTTTCATTCAGATCACATGATGGCCTTCTACGTTAACATTTTCAGACCCCTACAAAACTGCCTAGCAGAGGTGCGAGCGCTGTACTTTTGAATATAGCCTAACAAAAGGCTGTCTTTTCTTGGCTACTATACAGGCTTTTTCTTCAGTGGGGTTGTGGGCCTCCATGTATTAAAACTGCTACAACTTCGCTACAGTCATGGGCACGTTAACCTCTGCTTTTTAAATCGCTGGGACTGATGCGGCGCGCCTTCCTTAGATCGCTGCCAAATGCTGTGTGTCACGCCTTAACACATGATGGTTCTGTCTCCCCTTTGGGATGGTGTGTGCCTCAGTCCCTGCCTTTTTTTCCAGGGTGTGGGCTCCTCCCTGTAAGCCTAGAAAAGACTTAAAGCAGACAGCTGTGCCACCTGGGTGCACATCCCCTCCTCTCCTACAAGGCTGGCTTTGCTCCCGTGTCTGCCGGTACGTACAAATTCTGATTTCTGCTTCTTGCTGTCCAGCACAGAGAAGCAGATCCACCTGTGGACTGTCGTTTCGTGGCACTGGTGGTCTTCCCGACTATTCAGGTATTTGTATCTAAAGTAAGCTGGATGGTGATGGAATAAACATGTATGAGTAGAAAGTTTGAAAGATTCTCAGTGACTGGTAATGTATCTGTAAATATTTAAGGACTTTCACTAAATGTGCTGCTTTATCATGCTTGAAATGTTTGTATCACCTTTGGAATCAGTTTGAGACAAGATTTTTTTTCTTAACTTGACTGTTAAGTTAAAACACCAGCTTCAGAAATGTTTGAGTTTTTGTGTCTTCTTGTGGAAGAAGTGACTGTGTAAATGGGATTAATGGTACTGATGCTAAATGAATCTACCAGATTAATTACATCTTCTGCAGCACTGGTTCCACTATCCTTCAGCTATTTTTAAGCTTACATCATCTACCCATTGATTTTTGATACAAGTCTGTTTGGCTTGCTATTCTCATAGTTTATTTGAACTGATTCTTAACAAATGTTGACAAATTTTCTAGTTTAAACATATGTAAAAATCAAGACAATTTTGGTCACAGCAGCATTTGGGTAGATTTTCTTCTGTCTTGTTTGCATTACATAGTTTTAAAATGGGTATGAATTGCTGCCTATTCTGATCTGGCTGCATTTCTCAAACTTTTTGTGCAGGTAGAAAAGACTGCATAAATGTGTATTTTATGATGAATCAGCCCTTGCATATACTGAGCTATAATGACACCAAGAAATAATACCTGTGACAATTTTCAGCATTTTGGAAATGGAATTTTGCTGCTTATTATCTCCTAATTACTATTTTTTCAGTCTTTTTAACAAGAACATGTGAGTTTATTCTAATGGTTGCAGAAAACATTTTTTTAAAGTTCTGTATCACCATTGCTTCTAATCAATTTATCTTTACCAGGTATTTTTGTTGCGCGTAGTGTTCCCAGGCTCTTTTGACAGAACACAGCCTGGTATGCTATATGAGCATGATGTCACCTCAGTGCTTATGTTCACAGATCTAATCAGCAAGAATAAAGGACAAGAAAATTGGGAAAGAATAAAAATGGTTGAGCATTGCTTTTTTGTTCAGATAGTAAAGACAGTATCTGATGCTAGAGACAATGCAGTTGGCGTTTTCGGTGCTATTTTTCCTTCTCAGCAAGAAGGAAGGAGTAGTTATAAATCTTGCTTCAGCTGTTACTTCTCATAGTCAGTAAACAAAAATAATAAAGCTGCTCTGATAAAGCTGAATGTGGCTCTGGTTACTCCACCATCTCAAAAAGGATATAACAGAATTCGAAAAAGTCCAGAGATGGGCAACGATGATGGTCATGAGTATGGAAGCACTGCCAGATGAGGGATACCTAAGCAAAGCCGGCCTTTTCACTCAGGAAAAAGAGCTGCCTGAGGGCAGAGAGACTATGAGAGATCTCAGAAATGCTCAGTGGCAAATCTGAGAGATGGCACCATTCACTTTCTTTACCCTGTAGCCATTGAATGAAGTTGTAGGAGTCGGATTAAAAACAAAACCGGAGAGCATTCTTTATGCAACAGATAGTAGAGCCGTGCAACTCACTGCAAGAGGGTATCCGAGAGGCTAACTGTTCATGGGAATTTAAGGGGAGACTGGATAAATACATGGAAAAGAAATTCACAGATGTTTCCTATATATAAAGAAACTGCATCTGTAGCCATCCATTTTACCACTGTAGCAGAGAGATTATTGAAGTAAGTGGTCCTTATGTTTTCTGTGTCTTTAGATGGATGTTATATCATGTATGTTCTAAAAGCCTGTGTTTTTAGATGGTCACCCTGAAATCCCGTATCAATTTATTTTGCTGCTTGTTACCTTCTTTGTGGTCAGTGACTCAATTAGGAGAAAATATTAACCAAGGGTGTTGCCCAATACGATTCCATCACCATTTGTAAAAGCAGAACTGGTTTCCACTGTTGCATGAAGATTATATAATATCTAACAGATTGTTGTTGAAGCACAAGCAGTTCTGATGACAGAAAATATTGCAGCCCATTGTTTCAAATTAGACTTAATTCATTCTAATTTTCCTGTACCTGAAGAGTCTTGTTCTAGAATGATGTGTTGTTTTCTTGTGGTTTTTTAGGAATGGAGAAGCTGGTTGTTTGTCCATACAAAAGGCCAAATGCTCTCTGTAGGCTGTTTTGCTTTCCGTGGGCTGGAGGTGGAACTTCTCAATTTGCTCAATGGGGCAAACTCTTCAGCAGCTCAGTTGAAGGTTAGTCACTTGTGTAGTTAAAGTAGAGGTTAAGCAAGTCTGCAGTACAGGGTAGCCAAATTTTTTGAATGGTATGTAATGTTCTTGAGAGCACTGTAGTCTTATTCCAATGAGTCTTATCCAGAAAGGATCTGTTAGGATTAGCATTTCCATTAAGGTGCTGAGTTTACCAAGTTTCTGTGCCACCGTAGATCAAATTGTATTGAAACTATTGGTATGATTCAGAAACAGCAATACACTGGCATACTGTTAATATGTTAAAAAAAGGCATAACCAAGATATGAGAACTATTTTCAATGTTGAGAGACTGCACAGAATGAATTTCTGTTATCCAGAGTGTTTGCATGGTTTTGCACTCCTTGTATCAAAACTGAAGTTTAAACTATGGATTTGTAATAGTGAAATAGCATTTAGTTACAGTGCGAAGTAATTCTCATTGCTGTCAGGCTATATCAGCACTAAAAAGATCAATTTCTGAACTATTTGAAGAGGAGCAAAGGCCGTATTCCAGACCTTCCACAAAGGAAAAAAAATAAATTAGCATTTATAGAGAGCATTGCCATTGCAATTCTACCAGTCCTCTAAATGCTTGTATGCTTTCTGTAAACAGTTGCACAAATCCCATCAAATTTTCCTTGGTATTTATAAAAAAAAATTTAAAAAAGCTTTTGTCCACTGGAACTACTTCCAACAAAGTTCCTAAGGAGGTGGCCTAGGAGCAACTGCAGACACAGACGAAGAAATTGGGGTGCAGCATGCTCTTTCACTGATGTTTTGTGCAGAAGGGCAGTATAGAAGATGCAAACATTTATGTACTGCTACCTGTGGTATTAGGTAGTGGTTTATTCTATCCCTTCTAAAATACTTTGTGTCTGACCCATTGCTTTCATATGAGTTTGGCAGTATGTGTGATGTCAAGGAGATTTTAGAAAATCAACATTTTTTTCTGATCTGTTCATTCCTTACTTTCTTTAAACAGTGAGAAGAATTTTGAAGGGAATATAATAAAAGTATGTAATATGTCCTTCCATATAAATACAAATTGCCATCAATTTATATTGTGATTCCACATTTTACTACGTGCAGTGCTGAAGAGCCTGCAAAGAAAAACCAGGGACTGTATGATTCTAATATGATTTAACTTTCTAATGTTGCCCTTGAAAGGATATATTTTACACAACATTCAAACTTAGTATTATTAAAATTAATGAATTTATGGTTGGTATTAATACTAATAGTAATAAAGGTGCTTCGAAATCTCAGCTGAGATCAGGACCTTGTGGATTTCTGACCCAAAGCATTTATCAATCAGATCAATTGGAGAGGCAACATTTGTGAGTAAAGGAGGGATGGAAACCTAATCTCTTACTGGATTAAAAGACAGTAGTAGCAATAGCAAATATACTGTATCAACTATAAGAAGGATTAATTTAAATAGTCGCTATATTCTGCAAAACAGATTTAAAAAAAATTAATTAAAATTATTTTACTGTTTCTATTTGAAATAACTATTATTCTTTTCCCTCCCTTTCTCCACCTCTTCTGCAGTATCCTCTGTAAGGCTTCCTGGAAGAGAATCTCGTCTTAAGGAGCCTTTTGCGAAAGACATGACAACCATAGCTAATGAAATTACTAGTGTTTTGTTAAAAGAATTGCAAGAAAAACCATTTGCATTTTTTGGTCACAGGTAAAAATATATACCTTTTTAGATACGCTGGTGAAGGAGCTTTGTCTTTGAACTCTAGGAGTAGATAGCTTCTTCCCTTCACAGAGACTTTAGGAAAATACGCTTCTGCAAAGTCATCCTAAAACATGCTGTTGATCTCAAAAACTCTGGTTATTTACTTACTGCTTCAAGCACAATGTCTTCTAAAAATGGCAGTGTTGTGGTTTTTTTGTTTTTTTTTTTTTTACACTGATAAATTATAATTGTGTTTACTGTTAATTTTTGTGTCAGTTCTTCCTCTATATGAATGCAGGAGGTGAATCATTCACAAAACACATAGATTTTGAAGATTGCTTAGTCCCAAGTATTCAAAATTACTGTTCTTACTGCAAATTAAAAGAGAGAGAGATTAAAAAAAAAGGTCTGATTTGCAAAACTAGACTGTATAGGAATGCACTTCGTGTCAATTAGCTAGTATCACTATAATTTACATGTCATATATGGTTTCAGTAACTGTTCAAGATAGCCAGTTAGCACCGAAATTCAAATTATGTTTAAATTTTCCATTTTTCACATCTGTTTTTCCTTACTTTGCTTTACTTTCTCTTTTCGCTGCAGTTTTGGATCTTATATAAGTTTTGCAGTTGCACTGCACTTGAAAGAAAAGTATGGACTAGAGCCGTTCCATCTCTTTCTGTCAGGGGCACATGCCCCACACGTAAGTTACACAATCATTAATAGTACCAACCAAAACAGTATATTAGCTACCAAGAGTAAAAATAACATTTTTACAGTATGGTATACGGAGTGGCTTTAATAAAAAAAGAGCACTGCTTCTGAATGCATGCAGAAAAATGTTCTGTTTTCTTAGAGGAAATTAATTCTGAAGCAGATGGAGAATTTCACGTTGCAGGATATTCAGTGCTGCGAACCTCAGCCTAGGAACAAGTCTCCTTATGCTAATGCGACTGTTTTTGACTACTGTCTTATTTACTATGGCCTTTAGCTTAATACTAAAAAGTAATTAAAACAAAATATGAAGTGCCACTCCATACTCTGTAACATGTGAAATAGCTGTCTTAACCTAGTCTTTCATAAACCTCCTGCACCAGCCCTCAATACTTTTATCTGGTTCTTTCTTTTCCTCTTCATTCTTTGTTGACTTTTTAATCTATCCTCAGTTCCTTCGGAGGATCTGGTGGTCCTGCTAGTCTTTCTCGGGACAACAACAGAGAAGTGGCTTTTTCCCAGCCCTCCTGTCCTCAGGCATCATTTGCTATTTCCGTTCTTCTGTTTCTGGGGCTTCTTAGCAATCCTGAGTATGAGCTAGTACTTCATGGAAGCAATTATCATTCCTGCAAATTTCCATAATTGGTTGGTCTCTTCAATCCTACATTGGTCAGATTTGCATCCACTGCTAGGCTTTCCTTTCTCTTAAACACATTATTTTATTAATTGTATTTCAATAGTGAGAGTCAAACTTTGAACAAAATCAAATTAATGGTTATTTGCGTGTGGAAGTTGCGGGCGTTGAGGATACTTGGCTCACTCATAATCTGTATTTTCAGCAAACGCAGTCTACTAACCCTTCCCAAGAAGTAGTCTCTGTGGATGTTAAACTTATCAGCCATTGTATTTTGGAGACAGAGATTCATTGTACTTTTTTACTAAAACAATTCTTAATGCAAATACTATTTAAAGTATATGATATACAACAGCTGATCTGTTTTGTCTGGTGCTGACAGTCTGAAGCATTTCTTCCCCTCAAAACCGTACCCATATCTGAGGCAAAAGATGAAGACGTTCTTAACTATATACAAGTTTTAGGAGGAACACCTGCTGAGCTGCTGCAAAATGAAGACATTAAGAAACATCTGGTGCTTACTGTCAGAGAAGACATTAGAGTTCTTCAGACATTTTCGTAAGTTTTACAATTTTGTATTACATTTATATTTGCATTTTACAGTTTTACTTCAACCTGATCATTTCAGGTTTTCTTTTTTTTGTTTCTCTGTAATTTGTTCTCATTTCTGTTATAAAAAGAATATGAAACAGTAATCACAGTTTTCTCCTTTATGTGCTTCCCATTTATATTCTGGTATTTAAACCCTAGATGAAAACACTGCTTACCCTAACAACCACTACAGTTATTACAGTGGTGAACATGTCATGGTAGAATTACAGTTCTGCTTAGGCTCCAAAGTTAGTAGCCACTAAAAGGAATTTTCTCGCATCTTTTGTTGTTTTCTGAGGCTAATAAGCTCAACTGATCATGTTTCAAGATTGCTGCATTCAGCCTCCTGATCCAAGGCCCCGTAGCCTAACCAGAAGCAAAGAATCCCTGTGTTCAAGGCATCTAGAGAGGAACCATCTCCTTCTGTCCTAACTGCTGTCCCCACTGGCTGTTACACAACTGCTCACGTAGCTGAGTGCTTAACACTTCTTACCCTGGCAAAGACCAGGATGCTCTTGGATGTGGGACCCATTTTGGCCATAGGAACCTGACGCTGATAAGGCCCTGAAACATATAATATAAATTGAATATAAGCAGACAACATAATCGTTTAGCATAGGTGAGAATTTTCATTGCAGGTTGAAGCTCTTTTTTTCGTAACTATTGGGTGATTCTATCTTTAAAATTTTAGACCTAATTGCAGTAGGGTAAGGAGCTAAGAATCTTACACCTACAGTAATTCCTTCTCCTGATGTTCCGCACAATCTAATTCCTGAAGTTTGTTACCTTTTTCTTTCTCCTTCAAAATGTATTTTGTATGTGGAAGCAAACCCCAAATATAGGTATTTTATGGAAAGTTTTCTTACTACTTTTTATGTTCACAGTTTTGAGAAGGCAGAAAGGAATATCCCCTTATCCTGTGATATTACCTGCTTTAATGGGTCTGAAGATAAATCGCGTGATTTAGAAGGTACTTTGCTTAAATGGTTTTCCTCTTATACTTACGCATTTTCCTGTTGTATCAAATCAGTTAATGAAGAGTTTTCTAGGGTCTTTTATCTCCTTCTTAAATGAAACAAATCAACAGAGCAGTCTCAATGTATGAACCAAAACAGTTGATATGGGATTTAAAATAATTATTTAATAGTAACTTTGAAATAGTTATGTAAAATGACCACAACAGTTGACATTTCTCTGACACTTTAAATATCTTTTTCAGCCTGGCACGATGTAACAAGTGGAGATATTTCCTTTTATGAGCTTCCTGGAGGTCACTTTTATCTGCTGGAACCCTCTAATGAAACTTTCTTGATAAAACACATAACAAAATGTATAGAAAATGCTGGTCTATGAGTATTTCCCTGTATTTTAATGGCAGAAGGTGTAAGATTAGTATTAAGCTCTTCATAGTAAGTCATTCTTTCTGTACAATTGCACGCAGTTATGCCTAAGAGTTGTTCTGTGCCTCCAGATCTTTACTGTAATCCTTTAAAAGGGGGAGTTTTTCTGATTTTTTTTTAAAATAAACATTGGCTTTGGTTCTTAAAAAAGTTCTCATCTTTTACCCATTCTCACCTTGGATGTGCACAAACCCTTCACTTCATTCCATAACCTCCTTTGCAAAAAATGACGGCTATTTTATTTTACTTTTAGAGCGTCTCTGTGTGCTTCTGTAAAAATGCTAAATATAATTTAATTCCCACAAAAATACACAATTCTTACAGAAAGCTTAATTTATTAGGTTCAAATTTATTTAGAATAAGATACAATCTAAAAATAGAGTATGTACGTAAATACCCTTCACAGTCAAACAACTTATAAAGATTTTACTGTTAGACTACACAGTAAGGAGTTAGTATTGCATTTTTCTCCACAGAGTTAGTTCATTAGCTACTGAAGAGTTAGTTGTTAGTAGGAATTATTTTTGAGTATTCTAGATCCCATATTTTTCTACCATTGCTTTTGCTTTAGAGATATAGGCATTCATGGCATCCTCCTTTGATAAACCTGCAAAGGAAAGTAGGAGTTGTTATCTTTCCTCATTTTTCATCCTATAAACATGACTACATCATGTAAATGTAATTGGTGTAACACCTTTTTTCAGGTTCCATGCCTCCCATTTGGCTTTGCCTTTCAAATCTAGCATTCCTGGACATTCTGCCAAAATAAAAGCATACCTCCGATTATCATGTAGATTTACACAGTGTTTGCTTAATTTCATCAAGATGTGGGAGTAAATGAAAGTACATATAGGAATACCAATATTAATATCTCCAACAGTAGCCTGTTTGTAGAATCCATATAGTTCCTTCAGTTCTTCATCAGTTGGTCTTGTTTTTAATTTTTTTACATCTTCTGCAGCACTATCAAAGTCAGCCTGATGGAAGAAAAGGAAATGTTACTTTTCCTCTCAAGGGGTGTGAATAATATATTAAGTATAGCACACACAGTAGTATCATTAGATACTCTCAATTACTGCTCCCTTGGGTTTCGCAGTAAGTCTAGGCATTCGCCCATGAAGGAAGCTTAATAAAACCGTAAGTTATCAGAAAAGAAACTAGGCTTACTTAACTGATAGGGTCAGCACTGCTAAAATAAGTAAACCTCTTTTTTCCAACAGTTTTACATCTAAACACTTGGAACCACTACAGACTGTGTAGCGTCAGGATATCTACAGCTATATTCATGCAAGCAGCCTATACAATGAATGTAGTCTATATCTCTTTCAGTCACACTGGGGATATGAAGGCGTTCATTGACCTTTACACCTCAGCAGTAATCTCTCAGTCCTTTTGGCCCTGACTGTATGGCGTCGACTCAAGTGGCAGAGCTTGACTACCCTCTGAGGGGTGCTGGCCACGTCCCCCTTCGTTTCCACTTCTCTGCTGACAGTGCAGTAGGTGACCAACAGTTGGCACAGACGGACCTCACGGAGATGAGCAGTGCTACTGCCAGGACCACCTCCAACACCCAACTCTCCAACACAGTGGAGCACAGGAGTAAAGTATAAATTTACTCCTTTCATCCTCATGCATCCCACAACCACATCAACCCAAAGCTATAGCCGTTATTATCCGCAATCACTGCTCAGGACAGGCTGGGCATCCAATTCAGTGGTTGGTGAGAGTGACTTGTATTCTGTATTACTTTTTTTTTTTTATACCCAATCAAATATTTGAGAGCACTGCAAGACAAATACAAGATTTTTCTAGAATTAAAAACCAAAATGCCCAGAATATGTTATTTAGATAATCCAAAATCATGTGCTCCAGACTACATATAAAAGCTGAATCAATACTGTTGAAATGACCTTACAGCATCTCTTCTCAGCATTTTTCTTTTGTTTCCAGATACTCTATTCTTTACTTAGAAAAAAAAATAAATCAGCATTCTAGCAGGAATTAAACTGATCATGAAAACTATTTTAATTGAAGTAACTGGATTTAGTCAGCTTGGATCAGAATTAAAAATAGATTGTATGGACAACAAAAGCTCTTTTGCTTCTTTGTTCTAGATAAAGAAAATGTAAATATTTTCTGCTACAAAGTTCAATGTCAGAAATATGAAACCCAATAATTTGTTTCCCTGAAAGACTAGAAAACTGGAGTACAAGCTTTCTCACCTCAGCTGAAAGAGTAAATTGTTAAACATTTCATAAAGTATCTTCTGTCCCAATTCATCACAGAGTAAGTCCTTGAACTTTCAGGCAGACGTTGCAGTAACAGACAATTACAGCACAAATTACACACATACTGTATGAGCAGAACCTGTTCTTTGCATTGAAGGAAAATTGAGCTTTTCTGACAGCTGCAAGCTCTTGGAGTCAATACCACCCTTCTCCTCTCTGTTTGCAGAATCCAGCGCTCTTGACTAGGGCTCCCAAATACTTTAACGATACAGACAGTAATAGTTGCCGGATGTTCCACTTAGAAGCCTGACAAAGTACAAATTTCACAGATGGTACCCTAAAAATAGTCACACTGCTTAAATCTTGGAAAGTCTACGGAGGGTCCCATTTAAAAAGTAGCCATATTAGCAGCTTAATGATTTAAATTGAATAATAAAAGCAAACGTTTCCCAAACTCCATGTCAAGCATCATTAAAACATCTAGTCGTTACCACCTAACTAAGGGTAAGGATTTCCTCTGTTCTTTCCATAACTCTGCCTTATCTCTGATCATTTTTTGCTTTTTAATGGGAGGGACCCCTACCACAGCAAAGAAACTCAAGAAGAGAACACGACACTTAATAGCAAACACTTTTCAGGACTGTATGAGGGTTAGGAGGTATACAATAGCATGCATCGAGTCCTCAACCTTCACAATATGTAGTTACCTTTTTGTAAAGTTATTGAGAGGCCTTTCCTAAGCTGTACAGGGTCTGAAAGCAAGGGTGTATCTCCTCACTGCCACAAAACAATCATTTTGAAATTATCTTAAAATAATAAGCTCTGTGGAGGAGGAGCTTATGCAATTTAAAAAAGAGCAAAGCGCTCTGGCAAGTTAGCTCAACAAAATAATTTCAGTTTGATTTAATGTTTTAAATGAGCAATAGCGAAATTAATGATGATGTAGATTCAATACTTATTTATAAGAACCCCAGCCGTATCCTGGGCTGCATCAGAAGCAGTGTGGCCAGCAGGTCGAGAGAGGGGGTTCTGCCCTGCTACTCTCCTCTACTCTGGTGAGACCCCACCTGGAGTACTGCGTCCAGCTCTGGAGCCCCCAACATAGGAAAGACATAAACCTGTTGGAATGAGTCCAGAGGAGGGCCACAAAGATGATCCGAGGGCTGGAGCACCTCTCCTATGAAGACACGCTGAGAGAGTTGGGGTTGTTCAGCCTGCAGAAGAGAAGGCTCTGGGGAGATCTTATTGCAGCCTTCCAGTACCGAAAGGGGGCCTACAGGAGAGCTGGGGAAGGACTTTTTACTAGGGCATGTAGAGATAGGACAGGGGGTAATGGCTTCAGACTGGAAGAAGGTAGACAGATTAAATATTAGGGAAAAATTTTCACTTTGAGGGGGGTGAGGCACTGGTGCAGGTTGCCCAGGGAAGTTGTGGAGGCCCCATCCCTGGAAGCATTCAAGGCCAGGTTGGATGGGGCTTTGAGCAACCTGGTCTAGTGGGAGGTGTCCCTGCCCATGGCAGGGGGTTGGAACAAGATGATCTTTAAGGTCCCTTCCAACCTAAACCATTCTATGATTCTATGATATGTATATTCATGAATGGATGGTTTTGCTGTCTTGCTGGTGGTGAAAGATCTCCATGTAGAGGTCAGGAGACACAGTTCTAATATTTGCCACAAAGTGCAAGTCAACTAATTTTTGTTCTTCTAAAACCCCTTTAAATTGCAGATATTAAAAGGAAATAGTTAAATATAGAAACATTTTATGAATGTAATTGTACAAGAATGAAAATCTTTATATTTCAGGCCAAATCAGTAAATGATAAAACTTTAGAAATCTTCTGTCAGCTGGCCAAGTTTTCACAATGCACACAGGAATACAATCTGATCCCTAAAGAATTCCTGCT